AGTCAGCATCACTTTGACGTTGCTGCGCACTTGGCGGGCCTTCTTTGGTCTTGGTGACGTGGTTCAACAGGCTCCTTACTCTCCTGATATGGCTCCTTGCGACTTCTGGCTGTTCCCCAAACTCAAGAGGCCATTGAAAGGAACGTGATTTCAGACAAGAGAGGACATTATGGCTGCAACAACAGCTGAGCTAAACTCCATTTCGAAAGAGGCTTTCTCGGAATGCTTCCAACAATGGTGGCACCGCTGGGAGAAGTGTGTGGAGTCCCAAGGAGACTACTTTGAGGGTGATTAGGTTTCCAACGCTCCAGGTATGCCAGTTTTTATTCCCCGGCCAAAGGTCGGATACTTTTCTCACAGGCCTCGTATATGTAGTTGAGGTGATAGAGTTCGGAAATAAGTATTGTTGGAAATGAAACTATATTTCCATCGGTGTCAGTCATGTTTAATATTTTTTCACTTGATTATTATTTTTGCATTAAACTCATAAGACTTTTGTAATTATATTATTGAGATAATGTCACTATATTAATATGTTTAATGTTTATGCACACATCTTTCTTTCATTTTGTACTGACACTTGTTTTTGAAGCAATCTACACTGTGCCATTGGAAATGCACTTAGCACTTTGTGTTTCTTCTGTTATGTCATAAAATTAGTTAACTGTGGTACAGAAGAACTTGTATATTCTAACAAAAGTCTACACCAAACTTTTTTCTCACACATTATCAAAATACAAAACCCTTTAGATAACATCATCTTCAACCTGTTTGGGCATTGCATCTTTCAAATGAAAGCATGCTTGTTTTTTGGCTATTACCTGTTTTGTTATATTCTAAAATTGTGCCATTGACTCCTTGTAAAAATTGGTCATTTGCTCTCCACAAAGTAACAAAAGTACCATGTATTGATTCACAGTTAAGCCCAAGTCATAAGTTGTCTGGGAGTTAGGCCAATGCCATAACTTCATGGAAAGAAATTTGAAGTGATGATTCCCAAAGGTTTCATTACTGAAATGGTGATTGGAATAAAAACATTGATACATGGGAAATTTCCATATTTTGTCCAATCAACTGGGAATATACATTGAACCTTGATCAATTATAAAACCCTTGCAAACATGCCACATATAGCAACTTTGATTGGTAAAAACCTGTAAAGTTTCCAGGGATGAGAATCCCTATGCATCTACAACCAGGAGTTTACGCAGCCCCAAGACCCTTCCATGCTGGTTCAACACAACTGTGCCAAATCATGTTCAGTTGACTGAGTTTTTGCAAGTTTTTGAGTTGGAATCCATAAGTCAGTCACAAATATCAAATTGATAATAAGTACTAAAGACAAGTCCTTTGCTTAATTTATTCTATTCTCTTATAGAGACGTATTTAATAAAGAAAAATAAAAGTTCCTTTTATGGACTTTTGTCATCTACAAATTATCTGAAATTTCCATTATGGCTTTGGTTATCTATCTTATTTGACTCATTCTTATGACATCACTCTTTGGAAATATTACATTCATATGTCTGTAACTTGTAAGAAAAGAGCAATGGATGTTTCAAAATTATTTTTTAATGTTAATAATGTAATTAACACACACGATATACACTGTTTTAAGAATTATTTTATTAGGAAATTAGTTACTTAAGTCTAATTTTTTTTTAATTTAGTACAGTTGTGTAATGCCTGAAGACAGAATCAAGACAGGATCAGAAGTTATTTTACAGACAATGCTAAATAACACAGATAAGGCATTTGATAGACTGGAGGTAATTGTTTCCTACTACAATTTTTGTGAAAAATTTTGTAAATTACTTAACCTTACAAAATTAGAATTGTAACATTATATCTATCACTGTGACTGAGATATATAACAATATGATTCATATTTATTAAAAACTAAAAAAGATATGCATAAAATTTTGAATTTTTTTCTGTACAATTATATAATACCTAATTACTCAGCTTGTTAATAATGTGTTTTTCAGTAATTAAAAGAAATTACCAAAACTTTAATTTAATTAAAATGGGTATCTTGTTTATGATATGTATGTTACAGTATTAAAACTAAATTATAGATATTTTGTGTTAGACAGATAAGTTTTCTATTGTATTCTGTAATCAGTCTAATATGTATTTTATTTTTTTCAGTCATATCTCAGCACAAATGTATTAAGAATACCTGAGCATGTTTTACTTCCAGAGGATGCTATTCATGAAACACCTCATACTACTGATGAGATGCAGAAGTTGGAAACTGATATTCAAGAACTAAAACAAAGGCTGCAGAAGGTATGGAACAACACTGAGGGCACATTTCTTACAATACTGATCAATCCATGCTCAAAGTTTAGTTGATCTATACAGAATCATCATATAGTATATAGCGACAGCTGTATGGTTTTTCACAAAAAAAGCAAAGATTAACCAGAGATCCTTCAAAAAGATCATGTATGTAGTTCAGTGAAATTCTATAAATAATTGTTGTTTTTGGTTATATAAATTAGTCTGATTCTACATATGTTTTACATAGTTTGAAGAAGTTTTGTTTATTATGTTAAACCAGTATCATCATCACTGTTGTAAAATGTACTGAAAAGAGAAAGAGGTTTTAAAAATTAACACTGTTAATTTTAGTTCTGTGCTTGCAATGAAACCTTTGTGTTAAGCATAAAAAAAGGTTTTAGTAAGGAAAGGTTAAATTATTTTTTATACATTTTACAGATTGAAATGTAAAAATTACTTTTTTTTCTATCCATTAGGCAAAAAAGATGAAAGCTTGTTTGCAAGAAGAGCTGAAAGAGCAAGATGTAGTGAAAATGGAATTGGAAAAGTTCAATAGTCAGTTGGAAATGTTAAAAAAGATATCTCAAGAAACAGGAGGTAATCCTTACCAGTTATCAGTGAAACCTCTTCTTTAAAAAGCCTTATTTATTTTAAATATATTTGTTTTGAAAACTTGGAAAGCGATTACAACCACTAGAATCATTACCAAAAAATCTGCAATATGTCATGAACTTCTAAAATAATATGCAAACCAATTACAATTCTTAGTATCATCACCGAGTAGTTGCAGTGTGTCATGGTTGACAGACCTGGCTTTGTAAGTGAACTTTTGAAAAAACAAAAAATAGAACAAAACAGACAGATTGTGGATAACTAATTCTTCAAAAAAAAAGGTTTTAAACTGTCAAATATACTGCATTGAGTTGTACTTATACTGAGTCAATTTAAATTTTACTTGAATGATAATTGCTTTAAAATACACAGACATAGTTTTATATGTAAGTTTGAGAAGATACTCATTAATCATAAATTCTTTTTTATATTTTTTATAACTTCAATAATTGTAGGGCCTGGCATGGCCAGGTAGATAGGGCACTTGTCACAAACTGAGAGTCGCGGGTTCAAATCCCTGTTCCACCAAACATACTTGCTCTTTCAGCTGTGAGGGTATTATAATGTGATGGTCAATCCCACTATTTGTTGGTAAAAGAGTAGCCCAAGAGTTGTCAGTGGGTGGTGATGAATAGCTGCCTTCCCTCTAGTCTCACACTGCTAAATTAGGGATAACTAGCACAGGTAGTCCTTGTGTAGTTTTGCATAAAATTCAAAACAAACAAACAATAATTGTATATTATAATATTGCTGTTAGTGAAATAAATGTTAGTAGTAACTTCAGGTTTTCTATAGAGAATTGTTTATGTTAACTAGTGAAAAGTTTTATAAGGGTTGGAGGGTTTAATGTTTGTCAGTTTTATATTGTAGGGTCACTTTTTAGGATTCTGTACTTTATAGTTATTAATTCATTTTTGGTACATGATAAACATTACACTTTTACTCAATAGTATTATATACATTTTCTTAGAAATATTTCTAAATTATTGTTGAACTAATTATTGGATTGCCAAAAACAATTTGTGATAAAATAAATCTTGTGATATGTAAATGTCATAGTAACACTTTCTGGGAAAGAGCCATGTTAAAAGAACATATTGTAAGATGTAATAAATCATAAATAATTTAAGTAGTCTTTTCAATAAATACATGAGCATAAATAGAGATGAGGATATCATAAAAATAAGGGAATATTTATTGTTGCAAAGTATATTTGATTCTAAAGGCAAAATATACATATTTTGTTCCTTATATGCACTTTTCATACATTTTCTTATGTGCTGAGGTTAAACTACAGTTTTGTGTTATTCCATACATGACTATTTCAAAATGTGACAGAAAGTTGTAAACAGATATACAAAATGCTCCAATTAACAGTAACAAGTTAGTAGTTTACTAAAAAATTTACAATTTTCATTAAAGTTCATTATTTCTTTATATTAGGTCATCAAGAAATTAATATCGCTTTTTTTAAATGAAAAAATTCAAAGAACTTGTATATCAAAACAAAACACA